TTGGATGTATTTTTTTCTTTTAACTTCTCTGTTACTTTCACTCACTTATTAAATGGGGATTCTATCAGTGCTACATACCTTGAAGGACTTTGTGAGAATGAACAAAACTTTTCTTTTAGTACAAGTATGTGTATTTCTAGTAATCAGTAGACCATAGTTTCATTTTAACTCCTGGGTGTTCTGGGAGGACGTAACATCTGGATTGAGTCTAGGCTCATTGTGCATTGCCGTTTGTTGTTTTGGTAAACTTTGTAATTTGAGAAGCTTTTATATTTCTTGAAAAGTGTCAAAGACATCCAGAAAGTTCTCATATGCCCTTTACACGGTTCTCCTAATGTTAATGTCTGACAAAGCTCTAGCCCATTGTAAACACTAAAAAGCACCATTTGAGCATCACTATTAATTAAACTACAGCTGTCACTCAATGTCACCCTTTCTTCTACTGAAGTCCTTTTCTGCTCCCACATGGCAGTCGGTCCTTAGAGGGTTTCTGTCTTCCCTGGTCTTTGACCCACTCCCCATTTCCGGGCACACTGGTCATGTTGTGTAGACCACCTTTCACTTTGGCTTTGTCTGCTGTTCGTTTTCTCGCTATTAGAGTTATGGCTTTTAGGGAAGAAGGAAGTGTTTTCTTAGCATCCGGTACCAGAGCCACATGCTATGAACACATGCTGCTGTAGGTGAGACTAACATTACACACTTCCTTATGGTGAAATCTGTCAGGTGTATCTTCTGCATGCTCTATGTTTTTAAAGGAAGATTTATTTTTAGTGTTGTGTATATGAGTGTGTCCGTGTGAGTATTTGTACTGACAGCCCTGTCTTAAGAGGCCATAAGCGTGCGTCAGATTTCCCTGGAACCAGATCACACACCTTTGTGAGCCTCCTCACACAGGTACGTGTTCTTCATGACTGAGCCATCTCTCCAGCCCCAATTATTTTGACTTTTTTTTTTTTATCCTAACCCTAGAATTAGCCATTTCCCAAGACTTCTTGCTCCTTTTATCAACAAGTGGTTAGGAGCCAATCATGGACTTGAGTATGTCTGCTGGTGCTTGCTGGCACCATTTTCTAGACAGCATACTAATAAAGGCTAGGAGTTGGGAGGGTACAGGTTTCTCCGACTTCGGGCTGGGACTTTTTCACTCTAAGCCCCAGTTTCTTCATCAGTGAGTGTAGAAAAACAAAAACCATTCACAGGGTGGTAAAATTGTGAGGAATGGCACAGATAGGTTAGTTGCTTCTGAGAGTAGATGTTGTTTTCCCACACCAACTTTTCTGATGAATATTGTCAAAATATTTGGGGAAATTATGGGAAACATCTTCAAAGCATCAATGATTTGATGAAACAATAAAGGCAATTTTAATAAAAAGGGAATCTGCAGAATAGAAAAGAAATTGCATTTCCCCCAAATATGTCATTTCCAGTAGATTTCAACTTTCAATGAGACAGTAGGACAGTGACTGAGTAGGGGGTAGGAGGTCAAAAATAATGAACAGTGCAAACAGAAGATAACTAGACCTGTGACATAGCAGGAAAAGGAAATAAAAGCTTAAAGACTGAACGTGAAATTGTTAACTAAAGGCTATAAAGTGACAGCATTTTAATGGATAGAGAAAGAAAGGAGAATGTGAAATATATTTGGGGACTAAAGACTAAAACATGTCACAGGTAACAGGACAAAGAAAGAAGGGACCTATTCAGATAAAAATTCTAATACCTGGGTTAAAACCCAGGGGAGGGGGATGGGTTAGCCCAAAAGAGAATCACACCCGAGGAGACAGGAAACTTCAAATACTGAGGGAGACACCTAGGCCACTTTCAGGAACAAAGGGAACCCCAGTGCATCTCATAGATTTATCAGAATCCTTCTCCTGGGCATCTTCAATTGACCGAAGATCCCAAACCTACTTTTGAAGCAAAGCTCATGATTTTATGAATGACTTGAGGTTCCTGTAAAGGGTTTGATGGAGGTGGGAGATGGTGGAAGTGTGCCAGCTTCCCTGTTCTCTCCCCTTTGAGAACACTTGCATGCTCCAAGTTGGCATCCTAGAAATCTGACAAGGAAGCCTTTGAGTAACCCTATTTTACCTTCCAGGGAAAGCTAGTCCTGAGGAGTCTGGCTCCTTCCTCTTACCTCCCAGGATGCTGTGCGGGTCCTATGGTTGACAAGTGTAGAAATCATGTACAAGAATGCTAAAGCACTTTCGTGTCTTACATAAAAGGTGGTTTTTAATTCAGCTTCCCTCTGCTGTATTTTTCCTTCTAATTTTGCAATACTGGTGGCATAGATTAAAATAGTCCCTTGTATAATTTTTTAATTAAAAAAACTTCAAAGAACTTCATGAATACTATATTTACATCATTCAATCCCTCTGTCTCCCCCAACCTAACTCTTCCCATGGCCCCCTGATTCCCTCTAAAATTCATGATTACTTCTTTAATTATCATTGTTATTTACTTCATGCATACACACACACACACACACACACACACACACACACATATGTAAAACATCCGAGTTAATTCAGTGTTTCTTCTATGTTCGTATGTTTAGGAGTGATTGCTCAGGATTAGATAACCAATCATGAGCTTGTCCCTGGAGAAAACTGATTCTCCATGACATAGCAGCCATTGACTGCCTATATCTCTTCTCCCGGGGTGGGGTCTGGTGAGATTCCCATTGCTATTGCCATGCTGACTATTGCCATTATACAGGTCTTTTTCAGGTGACCACACTGTTGGGATTTTATGGATGCAGCTTTCCCATCCTGTCTAGAAGACACCATTAAGTAGTATCCTGGTTCTCTGGCTCTTACCATATTTCTAGCCTCTCTCCCTTGTGTAATATTTTTTTTTTAACTAAAAAGTGGTTTCCTTAGCCAGGCAGTGGTGGTGCACACCTTTAGTCCCAACACTCAGGAGTCAGAGGCAGGTGATACCTGAGTTTGAGGCCAGCTTGTTCTACAGAGCATATTCCATGACAGCCAGGTCTACACAGAGAATCCTTGGCTCAAAAAACAAAACAAAACAACAACAAAAAATGTGGTTTACTTGCTTATCCCCAAAGCGAGCACTGTCCTTGTGAAATGTCTCCACCAAAGACAGATGCCATGTATTCATGGCTTCTTTTATGTTCAACCATACCTTCCGAGTTTCTGTATCAGGGGCACTAGAGAGATGGCTCAGCTGCTAAGGCACTGGCTTCTCTTCTAGAGGATGTGTGTTCAATTCTCAGTACCCACATAGTTGTTCATAACTGACTGAAATCCCAGTCCTAAGAGCTTCAAGGCCATTTTATGGCCACTGAGGGCATTGTAACACATGGTGCATAGACATATTATTCATGCAAACACTCATGCATATAAGATAAAAATGAATGATATACATGTTGCCTTTAGCAATAGGACTCTACCATCAGGGTGTGAAGTACAATTTATAGCCTTGTTGATAGCCTGTACTGTTTGGGGATTCCATGAGACCCCTTTGGCCAACAACTCAACAAGAGGTAACTCTTTCCTGGCACAAGGTTTTCCTTGGTGGCATAAGAAGTCTAGTTGGGACACAGCCCTCCCCATCTATGGTGATTCCACTTAGATCCCTTTCCTATATGTATATACGTTAGGAAGCCTCTACAGCAGCAGGTTTCCATATCATTTTCAAATGGCCTTTAGCTGTCCTTCTTCAAATTCCCCAAATTTACCCTGCTCTCCCATTTCCCTCCCTACTGCATCCTCCTGTTTTGGTTTCCCCTCTGTTTCTCTATAACATTTCCCTTTCCTTAAGAGACCCATCATAGAACCTTCTTCTTGTAGTAGATGGGAATTAACAGAGCCCCACAACATGAGAATATATAGAGAATGAAAGTCTTGAAACACTCAAGTCTGGTGTAGGATGCCTTTACCAAATCACTCCCCTTGAGGCTCAGGGATCTATGGAAGAGGAGGTGGAAAGGTTGTAAGAGTCAGAGGTGATGGAGAACTCTAAGGAACAACATCCTCCTGACACAACAGAACGGATATATACATATATCAACTCACAGAGACTGCGATCTGCTGTGGAATGACCCTTCTGCACATTGTGAATATATCTTACCCTCACTGGTTAATGAAAAGCTGAAAGGCTGGTAGCCAGGCAGAAAGTTAGGTGGGCAAGCCAAACTGAGAATGATGGGGAGAAGAAGGGGGTAGTGAGAGGAACAGAGGGAGCAGAAGATGAATGTGCTATGTTACTGGCACATGGCACAGCATAAATAAAGGAATATGGGTTCATTGAAAATGTGAGAGTTAGTTAGTAATAAGCCTGAGCTATTTTGCACAAGACCCATATGGGTTCAAGCCAGATGGGGTCCCAGCACTGAGAGGGAGAAGTGGTCCCACTCCTAACCAAGCTATTTGCAGCTGATAACTGCTGGCAAAGGGAGGATCAGTTCACTCCAGTTGACTGTCACTGAGCATATTCAACTCCACTATTTGTGTTTTTCAAAGTCTGCGTTGGGACTCTCAAACACTGCTCAAACTGAGTCTTCTTCCTCTTTGTGCTTCTCAGAGGAGATGTGCTAGGAACAGGCTTCACTCATGCCTCTGCTGTCTGTGTTCCCTATGCCTAGAGTATCATTTTGGGGTGGGTTCATGGCCCTCCCTCATGTTCAGGCGTTAACAGCTCTTCACTTCCATTGTCGCTATTAACATAAAAATACCAAAAAAAAAAAAAAACCCACAGGATATTTTGAATATGAAGAATGAGCCAATATACTTTGGAAAGAGTAGAACCCCCCCACACACACATACATGACAAGAAAAACATACATTCCCGTCCCTGCGATCAATGTCAGGAAGTTCATGGACAGCAAGTCTGTCCTTGCCACTTAATAAAATTGTAACAGACTATGAAACACAAGGTCCTAGGACCCAACAGTCAGTGCTCAGGACTGTTTTCTAAGAAAGCAAAGAGCCAAAGGCTGGCACACTAAGTACCTCCCCTGCACTGGGGACTCTTACCTGAGCCCTGATCTGCATGCTGGCCTTGGGAGTCAAGTAATGATGTTCTAAGTACCAGCCCCGCTCCTGGAACACCAGCTTTGTGCCATACAACAGACAAAACTGAAGAGTAAGAGACAGAAAGGGAGCAAATGTTAGAAAAATGGGGGCTGAAAAAAAAAATCAGAGGTAACCTCACATCACAATATCTAAAGCCAGAAAGTCTTAATTAAAATGGCCACATTTTGGACTGTACAAAGTATAGGTTTTATTTATTTTTTAACTTTCCAATAAACCTTGAAAACAAATCTAAAAGAATAGACAGTTTGATGAAGTCCCTCTATCAATTTCATTCAAGAAATATTAATACACAGTCAACCTTGGTTTACAAGTAACTCCCTGTATCCTCTTCACTCAGGTGACTTAGAAGTCCACCCAGAATAGATTTTGAAATACATACCTAGTTCTGTTTGCTTTCCTTCTCATTCATGAAAAATACTCAGCAATGTCATCTTGATATTTTCCACTGAGCAACATTTGATTAACTTTCACAAAAATAGCATTCCTCATTTACATCTTGCCTCAGTATGTTTTTTTCTGTTACATTTCTGAAACTGAGCACCCTGAATGACATCACAGGCAGCCACCGAGCAAAAATAAACCAGTTTTCCAGAGGCAGGGTGACTATTCATTAAACCATTCATCCACTCGCCACTTAATGTTCCATAATCTCAAATCACACAGAGAGTGGGGGGAGGACTGTGCAAGGACCTCTGTGTCTCCAGCCCCAGCTTCAGTTATCAGACCTCTGGCCTTTTGCTTCATCTCATTCCCACTCAAGTCCCAGCCCTGCCACTTCATCCACAAACACACCTCACCTTTGTATCTCTAAAAGATAATGACTTTTTCAAAGATGGTCTTGGGTTGTGGTCACAGCTCAATGACAAGAAGCTCATTTTGGATCCCCACCACCCATTAAAAATAAATAACTAAAAGCTGAGTTTAGTGGAGAATGCTTGTAATCCCAGAGCTGGTAAGCAGGGGGTTCACTGGCCAGCCTATCCAACTGTAGGAAAAGCATAAGGAACAGTGGGCTCCTTATAGCTGGCAACTCTGGTTAGAAGAGGTGGGAAGATGAATGCAAAGGGAAGCTACTAGAGTCTAAAAGAACAGTGTGAAAATAGTCTTGGATGTCAGCAGAGGTGACTCTCCTCAGGGAGGTAAGAATGGCACCAGGAAATTCTAACAGTGCTCTATTTCTCTTGAATCTCCAGCTATTATCTGAACTCAATAGCGCTGAGAGGGCAAGGCTTAACCATGTTTCCCAGAAGTCCCCCTGTTGGAGATATAATCCTGAAGTTCACATGTAAATGGTACTTAGAGGCGGAGCCTTGAAAGGAAATGGGGTGACATGAGGTCCTGAGGATGAGAGCAACATGACAGCTTTTATAGGAGGAGAAAACGGAGCTAGAACCTTTGTCCTATGATGGTCTTGGCCATATTAGGATGCAACAAGAAGCCCCTCATCAATGCTGAGCAGATGGCTGCACCATGCTCTTGGACTTTCCAGCCTCCAACACAGCTGTGAGCCAAATAAATTGCTAATCTTCATAAAGTATCCATTTGAGATATTTTGTTACAGCAACAGAAGAGAAACAAAGATAGATTGTAGCCACGCAAGCCAAGTAGGTCAACTTCTCAGGGATATAACAGGATAGAGAAGGGAGCAGAACTGGAGAGAAGACAAGATATTCATCCCAAGTCCCAGCTTCAACAGTGAATATCAGCCTCTCATCCAGTCCTACCAATTCAAGTCAAACTCCACTGAATTACAGAAATCTCCCGGCAAGCCCACATCTGTCTACACAACCCAGGCTTAGTTCCACACTGCCAGCTATACCAGACTCAACACAGAGTTTACTGTGTCTGCTCTTCCCTTCTTTAGGTTCTTGAATTGCTTTCCTGCTGACACTCTGGGAGCTGGCTTTCAATTTTTGCCTTGTGTCATGAATATAGTTTAGACTCTGCAGAGGCTGCCCTTTCAGCTTGTCCTAGTAAATAGGAGTGATACTGGTCCTCTGTGGTTATCAGAAACACATCTAGGTCGAGGTACCAAGGGCCCAGCTTCAGTCCCTTTTGTGTCCAGTTCTTCAGGCACTCAGTGCTGGAAGGATAATTTATATTAAGCTTTTCCTTATTCTGGGTGTGAGGCTATGAATGAGCTTGGATGAGCTCCAAGAGGTATGGAGACTTCCTGCTTGGTTCTGTCTTGGGTACAATAAAGGGATTCAGTCTTAGTGGTTTATACTGTTTACTACTGACCTTGTAATTTCTGCTTCCTAAAAAACAAATCAGGAATCTGTAACAACTTCTAAATACCAAGCCTAAATAACACACACGCTTTCATATTTCTATTCATTATGTCCCCCCACCTCTGTGGTGCATGTGTTCTTATGTACATTTCTATGTGCCTGTGTGTGTGTTATATTGCCCATGGATGTGCACACAGAGACTGAAGGGTATCCTGCTCTATCACTCTCCATCTTACTGTCTTGACTGAGTTTCTCACTGAACCAGAAGTGAGGCTGGTGGCCAGCAGTCCCCAGTGACCCACCTGTCCATCCCCTGGTGGTTTTTAATGTGGGGACTTAACCTCAGACCCTCAAGCGTGCACTGTAAACACTCTTTCGCACTGAATGTTTCTCTAGGCCCTCCTTTTTTGTCTTTTGTTTACTTTTCTATTTGAAGCAAGGTTTCATTATGTGTCCCTGACTGGCCTGGAACTTGTTACATAGATCAGGCTAGCCTCAAATTCATATAAATTCACCCACTTCTGCCTCCCAAGTGCACCTCCCTGGCCTTTTTGTTTGTAGTAGAATCAGTCTTAACTGCTCCTATACTCTTACTACACACTTAGTTTTCTTTTCTTGTGTGTGTGTGTGTGTGTGTGTGTGTGTGTGTGTGTGTGTGATGCACACATGAGTGCAGTGTCTGAGGAGGCCACTGGGGGAGTTGAAGTGACAGATGGTTATGAGCTGTCTGATGTAGATGCTGGGAACTGGACTGGGGTCCTCTGTAAGGAAAGTGTATGAGCTTAACACCAAGCCATCTCTCCAGCTCCCTCAAAACTAAGAATCGACTTTGTGTACAAATCACCTCCGACATGATAGAGGTAAACTGAAACCAAGGTGATGCAATGAGGTAACCCACGCAAAAACAAATCCAAAGACACCTCAGTGGCTCTGTGATCATCAGCCAAATTAGACTTGAGAGCACAGAAATATCCAAGAATGCGGAGGAAATCACATAATAACAAGGAGGACTGAGGAGGCAGTAGACAGATGTGCTGCTGAACAGGAGGGTGGTGAATGACAGGCATTCAAGATAAATTCTTCAGACAGAACCAAAGGGACAAGGGAGCAGACCCTGGAGGTGTCAACACTGGACTTCCAGCAATGAGAATGATAGAGATCAGAGTGCTAGCCAAGAGACTGTTGATGGACAGATCAGCAAGAGCACAGAACTAAATCCCTTTTATTAGTCGATTGGATCTTACTGGAATAAGGTTCTACCTCATGTTAGTGTTTTTCACACACTATTTTTCAAGGATATATGAACCAGTCAGAAAGACAGACCATATCCTGGATAATAAAAGTAGTTTTAACAATTAAAATGTAAATATTACTTATCTCTTTAGTTCTATCTGGGCTTTGCATCACATATGTACTCTCTCTCAAATATATACATTTGTTTCCATATGTTGTAGTGTGTTTGTATGTATATTGCACCTGAGTGTACAGGCATGCACATGCACAGGTATGGAGACCAGAGAGGATGCTGGGTGACTTCCTCTATCAACCTTGACCTTACTGCCATGGGGCAGTGTCAGTGAGTGAGCTCTCAGGACCTGCCCATCTCTAGCCCTCAATACTGAGATTTCAGGTTCCAATAGCCACTCTCATCCTTTCATGTGGGCTTTGTGAGTTTGAAGTAATTCCTCATGTTTATAAAGCAAGCTTCCTCATCCCCTGAGACTTTTCCCCAGCCTCCACACCATGTATTTTAAATACCTGAGAAGGAATTCATAATAGTATTACTATGTCTTTTGTTTCTTCATGCCTTTTTGTTGTTTTTTTGTTTGCTTGCTTGCTTTTGTTTTGTTTTTCAAGACAGGGTTTCTCTGTGTAGCCCTGGCTGTCCTGGAACTCACTCTGTAGACCAGGCTGGCCTCAAACTCTGCCTGCCTCTACCTCCCTAGTGCTGGGATTAAAGGTGTGTGCCACTACCACTCAGCTACACCATGTCTCATATTGTGATGTAATTTCCAGATGTTTTCTTTGCTCTGAAGCCTGATTTTCCTTATATTAAAACATGTATATCCTGTAATTATTGTAAGGCTGGGCTGGCCAACTAACCAATAACAACAGAAACCAAGACAATCTTTTGACACTTGGAGACTAAACTGTACCCTTCTTAACAATTCATAAGTAGAGAAATAACTCTCAAAGGAAGTAAAGAAAATTAAAATAAAATATGCAAACATTATGGGATGTAGAGAAAGCAGTTCATATAGGCAAATCTATACCAAATTTTTAGCTTAAAGAAGAAAAGTCTAATGTGAAATTTCACCTCAAGAGCCTTAAAAAACCAAGACTAAAACAAATCCAGAGTAACCTGACAAAAAGTGAATGTAGGCAATAAAAAAAGACAACAGTAAAAATGACAATGGAAAAGCAATTGAGAAAAATAAATGAAAACCACACTTGTTATTTTATATGGTCAATACAATTAACAAAATTCTAATGAGCTTAAGAACATGGAATAGAGATAACAATTAATACAATCTGATATGAAGATTCAAGCCCACAACTCCAGCAGAAGCCCACTGCTCTACCAGAGACCACACCAGCTCCCAGAACTCCAGAAGCCATTCCAGCTCCCATAACCCCAGAGACCATACCAACTCCCAGAACCCCAGAGGCCATGCTAGCTGCTAGAATCCCAAAGACAGTAGTGGCACCCAAGTGCCCAGAGGTCAGGCAGGTTGCCAAAACCATACTGGAGACACCCTACTGAAACATACCTCATCATCAAAGACAGACATTACATTAAAGGATTGGAAA